AATTTTATAGTATTTGGAGGCTTCTTACATTTGCACTGTGTTTTTTTCCTGCCTTTCCCAGCTGAAGTAGATGTATAGAGCCATCCAAATAGTCCCAATCTTTTAATTATTTTCTATAATTAATTGCAGCTGTGGATGCTTTAACAGGTCTGTTTGGAGTAATTGTTAGAAAGTTCATTTAGCATTGATATAAGGTTCAAAAGCTTTGGGGTGGGAGTCAAGATCCAGATGAAAACACAGGTTGTGTATATTACTGGGTTATCATATTTTATAACACAATTTCCAAGGAAATATTTTGAAGGCCACAGTTCTATGGTAAAAATCCAAAATAAATTCAGTTAAATGAAAGGATGTACTGCCAATTTACACTGTTGTAAACTTGATTTAAAGAGACAAAACATTTCAATGTTTCATTTTTAAATTCCCTTTAAGTATCCTGGGGAGGAGAGAGTTCTCACCTATGGAGTACAAAATTAGAAGAAAGAGTACGAAAATTAATTCAGGTGGCTGTCAAGTAAGAATAAGGGGTAAAATGACTCAGCTTCAGTGGATTTCAGTCTTCATAGTTTTGATCTTTAAAAAGAAAAAGACCTGTTGAATAAAGCCCTTTTTGATTTGTTTACACAAGGGCTTTCAAACAAGCTTCACCCAGCTCTTAAGTAAAACAAGGAGGACAGCATGGTGGGAACAGTTGAGAAACTCCACCTACTTGAAGGAAATATGTTTTTGTCCTAAGTTGAGCAGGGGTGCTTTCCATAGCAACACATTCTGAATTAGAAAAATAAAACCAAACATTACTGAAACTCAATAAAGAACCCTTTTAAACTTTAAAGGAGCATGGCTATGCTTCAGCCACTTGGATTGAATATTACAGAGGAAATCCAAGATAGGTTGATTTCTTTGAAGCTTTTTAGTATGAATCAAGATTTTGGAGGATAACAGTGATGGTTGGCTGAGGGCCATAGTGACAAGGTGTTGAAAGTTCTGCTGAATTGATGTCAGATTTGGACTGTGATGTAGGCCAGTTTATTGATAAACAGACCAGTGCTTTTTATCAAACGGATGTAACTGACAGAGTACTCTAAGCTCAACAGGAAAGCAGCAGCAGATTGTGAAATGCTGAGCTTTTCTCTGCTTCCAGAATGTTTGGCTGAGATAGGAGCCTGGATGAGAAGGCAGTGGCTAAGGCTATGTCCAGATAAGGAGGAGGTAATTCCAGTTGGCAAGGTAAAGCAAACAGAGGCTTTATCTTTTCTGTATAAAAACATTTGCTAAAATTATGCATGCAGGCTTAGTAACTCAGCATGGAAAGGGCTTAGAAGATATCTCATGGACAATTTGTGTAGTTACTGCAATTGTATGCGCAGTCCTGGAGATGGCACACCTGGATTGTGTGTCATTGCTGTACTTACACAATTCTTAAAAAAAACTGAAGGATTCTGCTTTTCTTGTAACTTCTTCTAAAAGGATAAGAAAGAAAAAAACCATTCGGATCTGCTCTGGCAATAATTACTAGGGTGAGGGTATACTCCATAGACTTAAAATCTCTATAAAGAACATTTCCAGCAACTCCCTCTCTATTGTATTAAAAGGTGTCTGAAACCACTGCCTCCACGTATTGTTACAAGATACCACAGAGCTTAGTACAAACATCGGCTGCTGTAGTCCACATCACTAGGAATTTTTACATATATGCCATGATTCTCAGCAATGTTTCTACAGTTCTTTTCCAGTGAAGTGCAGAAAAATACTTTTGTCCTTGTAGGGACACAAGGGGAATCCAGAAAAGGCACTGGGAAGTGTCAGCCTCTGAATTGTTTAACCTACGTCCTCACAGCAAATGTCTGAGTTAACTGCCAAGTGAAAGCATCACCACCCAACTTAGTGAGAGACTACTTCTGTGTGTGGGAAGGGTGACGAAAGAAAGACAAGAGATGAAGTTCTGGAAAATGGTGAACTTTACATTGAGGACGTTACCTAAGAGCTCAATAGTCCAATTTTACCATTTCTTTGATCAAGTTTTTGTCACTGAAAGGGCTGTTTCTACTGTCAGCTGTGAATAGCAGAATTTAATTGAATGTGCTTTTTGCTTTGAATGCATATTGCACACAGAATCTAGCCACCAGATGGAGGAACCCACAGGCTGGCTTACTGAGAGCTAGTGTCTATTCACTGGCAGCCGAAACCAGCCATTCCAAAGATAGTGTTTTCCTGAATCAGTTTGTTTTGGCATTTCCTGCATGAATGTCATGGATTAGAGAAAGATTTAAGTAATAAATAGCATTGGTCTTAAAGTGAAAAGAGGAGGGTAAGTAAACAGAGATAGATAGCAACTGTAGTTAATTTAATCTGCAATGGTCTTATGATGCAATAGCCTTGTATGATCTCTTCCTGGAATGTTTGTTACCATGAAGTGGGTTTTGGTTTCTCAGTACAGTTCCCCATGGACAAGTGTCCACAGCAAAAAATACGGCATCATTTAGCCACTTACTGGAAATTGATGGACCATGGGTAATCATAAAATCATTACTTTCTCCATCACATGTGGAGATGTAGAGATCTCAGCTTTTCTCCAGTATAGCTTTTTACTCCACTGAACAATTTCAAACAATTTTCCTAGAGTCACACTTTTCACTGATGAAACAGAAACATAACACTTAATTGTAATATGTTCCATTCCTGAAGTTTTTAATTTTATAGGCCATAAAGTTTTGTAGTATATTAATAGTGAACAAGCAGAAGAATTAGGAACTGTATAGAGGGATTCTTTCCTGCTGATTCATGGGTTTAATTACTTTTTTAATGAAGGATGTTACTTATATTATCTGTGTGGCTTCTGAAATTGGAAGTCATTGGACTCGCAATGAATATTCACTTGCAATCTTAATTTATGTTTTCAAATATAAAAGTAATGAATAAATAATAAAAATACAGAATAATGACAGAGCTTTTTAACCACAAGTACAGCGGATTCTCTGGATTTCCCCTCTGAAGCAGTAATTCATATCGCTGCACATGATGAGCAGTATTGTATGAGTACAGACATTACTCTTACTGGCACAGGTTTTGGGTTTAGCTATTGAATCTCCAACACTGAAACAGTTTACTGATAAATTGGAGATAAAGGAGTTATAGGAGATAGAGACCTTGCTTGTGACTATTAGAATGTGTTCCCTCATATGCACACATCCTTGTGTGGAGTGGGTGTACAGTTGTACAGACTAATTAACACACCTAATTAAGATGATTCATTAGAAAAGCTACTATTACATGCACCTAATTAATATTAATTCTTAGAAAAAGCTACTATTTTGTAAGGCTGAATCATTGTTTTTTTTCTAAACATTAGTGCTTTTCTTTGAATAGATGAACAATGTCTTTTTTCTTTTCCTTATTTTAATGGGAAAAAAAATTAAGTTTCTGAGCATGCTTGTAAGGAAAAAACTAGCAGGGAAGGAAGTAAAAGTGTAAGAGACTTCTGAGCTGTACTAAGAAAGCTCTACGCAGGTCAGAAAAGGGAAAAATACTGTTGTGGATGCATGTGTGATCATTTGAAATTTCCATTAGGAATTAGGCTCTTTCTTGTGGTTGTTTCACTAGTAAAACAATTCAATGCTAATCTTGCTTCTAGAATTAGGCATCTTCTATAGATTTAAAAGGCATCTTTTAAAAATGAGGGTGAAGTGCTGTATTAACAAGTTATGCTACTAGATTGAAGTACGCACTCTGTTTTAAGCTTTCAGAATACAACTCATCTTCTATTCTGAGTAGCAGAAAAAAAGGAGAAAATTTAGACTGAGAACTCTGAAAAACACTGCAAACACTGTGTAAGAACTGCTCTGAATTATTTCTGATATGCTGAGTGACAGGGAAGCTTGCATGCTATATATTACATAAAGCTTCCCCGCCTAGGAATATTTACAACACAGCGCACATTGAACTTGGCAGCTAATCTACCAGGTTTTTTGAAATGCTAGTCACTCAGTGGCAGAAGGTATTTTAGCATCATCTTCAAAAATGCATTTACAAGTGTAGAGCTATTAAACACTGATAGGTACTGCGTATTTCTTCTAGCTTTCAATATAAACAAAGCCTTGTGCTTATCTCCATTCTGCTTTGTTTTATATCTGTCACAAAATCATCTGTTTTCTCATCAGTTAGGTAAATACAAAATTTGTCGTTTGATTAAATAGAAGGGAATCGCATCTCAGCATTCAAGGAGGGATCTGGCTGTTCTTTGGGAAAAGTTAGTAAGCTGAATACATTTTCAGAGAAAAAAATAGGAAACAAAAGGATTTCCTAGATGTAAAAAATTACTGTTTACTATTGCTCCAGCTGACATTATCTGCACACCAGTGAGTAGACACGCAATCTCTGGCTGGCCTCATCTTATCAGTAGGTAAGCTAATCAGTATTTTAAATAACTAAATCTTTGACATCTTCCAGTATTATCCTGCATCTTGGAAAGTGATTCATTGTAGTTCTCCTATACACCACATTTGGAGGGTTTTGTGGTTTGTGATTCTATTAGGCCTCATTTTCAAAATTAAACATTGTAGCGTCTGTTAAATTCAAAGTCACTCAGAATCAATTTGCGCTAAATGTGCTTTGAATTACACTTATAACTACAGTTTTCATTGAAACCAGTCAAAATGTTGCAGGACAAAATTAAAAATTAATTGTTGTATAGTCTGTTTCTTCATTGTAGTTACAAGTCACACAACCCAATAACATTGACACAGCAGAAATAACAAAGAACAATGTTTTAATCCTGCACCTGGAGATAAATCATGCAATTCAATAAGGTATTTCTATCTGTAGTTTCTCTCGTTCTATTCACTCTTTTTTCTTTAATCTTTCAGTCACATCCTCAGATTTCCCTTTTGGGTTAGCTAACAAATAAGAAAGAGCAACACTTAACTACATTTGTTGTCTTTGTACCTCTGCATCTCTCTTATGCAGGTATCCAGTACTATTTTGATAAAATGAGATACACTTACATGCATCATTCCTCTTTTTATGAGTGCAGGGGGCCAGGCTGCAGAGTCGTGCTGGCACTGCTGGTGGACTCCAGATAGTTTTCAGCTGCTTGTATAAATGCACGAGGGTATTTGCCTTCACACTATTCATTGCTATCACTTTGGCTCTCAAAACCTTCAGTTCGTCAAACAGCCAGAGGAGCTTTCCAGAGTCTAGCGACCTATCAACACAAAGTAGAAGAAAAAAATCCTCTGGATGTACAGCTTCAAGATAACTGAGGGGTCTCCAGACCTATTTATAAAAAACTTTGAGAGCACCCTTTCCTGGTGGGAGAGGTGGAGCTAACCAAGTAGTTAATTTTCAACTTGTCCCTAGACTGGCTTCTTCATTGGCTCTACATTTTGTTGGAGGGCTGGCTAGTTGATGATTATTCTACATGTTCTTTCAAGATTCTTTCTTGTCTGGCTCCAGGAACACCAAAGGGTTACAGAAACCACTCTTTTGTATGCAAGGAGAGGTTTCTTATCATTTCTTCATGCATACATGCTTTGAATTTGAATAGTTGTATATTTGAATAGTGATAGCTAAGAATTACTATTGTTAACAGCTGTAATTCTGAGGACTGGTGACTGCTCAAACTGAGGAATTCACAGAAATCTAGTAAATATACAAGGCTTGCCCATGAGAATAGGAAGGCAAGCAGCCTCCTGCGGAGGAGTATTCTAGCTCTGAGCATGTAGTACAGTATCATTGCAGCCTCAAGGTGAGGAACTTGTTCTTCTGCACTATCAGATGTCCCATAAGAAGGATAATTTTGTATAGACTAAAAATAGGAACAGACATAATGAACCATAATTACTCCTCCCACTCACACACCATTTTGACCCAGCCAAAGTGTTTTTTTTTCCAGTGGGGAGAACAGACTGAGATGTTTTCCTGACCTGTGCTTCTTAGAGATGAAAGCATGAAGAAAGTTACTCTTGCTATTTCCACATGCAACTCCAATAATTTTGTTGTTTTATGTGAAAGATCTGTATAGAAAGCCCATCTTTTCATTTTTTTGGGGGGATGTTCGCTCCTCTTCCCATACCCGCAATCAGTGTAAATGGCACAGACACAAGTAGCTTCTGAGTTAGAGCTGTAGGTTCTCAGGCCAAACAGAAACAGAAACACAGGCAAGCAATTCATTCTCTAAAGACTTCTCATAATGTTACAGATTATAATAGGCCAAATGGGGATGAAGATGGAGAGCTGTTAGGAAAGGGTGCCTGGGCACATCAGGGAGCAGCAAGAGCCAGCTACTCTCCAAGGACAGGGGAGTGGCGAGCCAAGGATGACCCCAGCACAGGCAGTGACTGCACCAGCCCAGTACCACCGCACAGAGGCAGAGCTGGCCACTGGTAAAAGGGTCCACTGACAGTCCCAAACACTGCAAGTGACAAAACAGGTCCAAGGTCCAACCAGAGAGCCCAGACAGGAGCAAAAGGAGACAGAGCCAAAGACAAGCAACCACAAGGGTCCAGAGTCCTTCCTAGAGACAGGTCCAGAGACAAACCTGAAGTCAAGTGCCCTAATAACAGAGCTTAAGGGGCCAGGCTTGGGCTTAAATGGGCTCCTGGCCCACGGGCAGGGCTATGGGTAGAGGCTGCAGGTGAGGCTTGTCAGGGTCATTAAGGCTTGTTAGTGGCCTCAGGGTCATGACAGCTCAAAAGTATATGTGATCTTTAATAATTCTCATGTAAGTATTTGCAAAAACCATGTGATTATTTTCCTCCATTAGATACATAGGAGGGCATATTTTGAAAGCTGCAGAATCTATCAGAATCTACAGAGCAAGCAGAAATGATAAGACTGTTAACATTCTGCCATTAAAAGTTTGCCATTAAAAATCACTCCTTTCTTAATCCATATATTTACCCATGAAATATTTTTAAATAATTTTTTTTTTACTTAACAAATTTTGGTGTTTTGAATTAGAAATGTCTTTGGCAATATTTTCATTAAACATATGCATGCCTGTCATCTCTTATCACACAGGGTGTAAGTGTGAGGCTCAGGCTCAGGGAATCCTCTTTAGTATCCTAAAGTGGCAAGCTTATCTATGCTATTTGCTATTCCAAAACCTACTATTTAGGAGACTCTTAATGCTTGTCATTTATTGCCTCAGCTGCCTGCTTGAGTATCTAAGAGCAAGCCATTGTCAGCTAGGAGTTCTACCTGAAGAACCGCAAGATGAAACTTCTATTGTTGCTCATAACTGTGGGTAATTACATATGTGGAGTGTGACTGTATACAATGGAAATGTGCTTACTTTGTCTTCACAGAAAATAGAGAAGTAAAAATCTAGAAATTTCTGCTGTCACTACCCATCTGACTTTTGCTGTAAGTGCCTCCGGATTAGACTGCGAAGATCAATATTTGTTTTCTTTCTGATGCTTACTAGATGATTGCTAGCACTTACATTCTGGTTAATTTCAAATGAATGCTGTTACTTGCAGAGAGAAAATTACTTCCTTGATTTATTGTCTCAAGAAATCTGATTCTCCTGGCATCAGGCTTGCAAGGGTGTTCCTGTCCTAATATAGTCTCACTTGCAACATTGGCAAGTCAAACTCAACAATTCAGAAAAAACATAGTCTTACAGTTTTACTGTAATTAAAAAGATACAAGGGAAGTGTTTTCATAATTAACATTTTCCTCACCTGTTTATTGTTGTATAACAGCTGACAGGATGATCAATCAAGTAGTGAGAAGCTGCCTGAGATGGCATTGCTGCTGAGGAGTCCATGTGAAACCTCTATGGAGTATCTAAAAATATCACCTAGAGCAGCTTTCACAAACCTGTTAGGTCATTACTGAGTGGGCTTTAACACTCATTTCTCTGTGGATTGGCTCACACTTCCCATGTTAGGTATCACTTCAGCCTAAGTGAAGCTTTTCTTTGATGTCCAAATTTTGCTAGGACACTTAGTAATGCGACGGAGCTCACCAGCCTGCTAACCACCTCTACGCCCTCCAGTTTTTAATTCTCTCCCTTGTATGAGGGGTTCCCAAACAGGACAGAGTATTCCAGATGTGTCCTCACAGGTGCTGAGTAGTGGGGAATAGTCACTTGATGTGCTGGCCATGCTCTTTCTAATATAGCCCACTACGTCATTAACCTTCATCACTCCAAGGGTGCGTTGCTGATATGTGTACAACTTGTCCTCCAGGATCTGCAGTGCTTTTCTCCGGAGCTTTTTACCCTAGCAGTCAGTCCCCAGGGTGTACCGAAGCATGGGATTATACCATCCCAAGTGCAGGACTTGGCATTTGCCTTTGTTGCACTTCGTGAGGTTCCAAGCTGACCTGGCTTGTCAGGACCCTCCCAATGGTAGCCCTACCGTCCTGCGTACGGCAAACGGGGTGTTACATGGAAACTTGCTGAGGGGACGTTCTGTATCTCTGGCCACTGATGAAGATTTACACTTAGTTTACTTTAAGTCTCACACATGAAAAAAATGGGGTAACATTGCAAATAATTTTGAACATGTGTCTAGACGGATGCAGGTCCAGAACTAGGAGACGGTCAAATTCTGCTTAGAATAATAGCATTAATGATACATTGATGCTATGTAACATTTTATATCTGGATTTCTGAAAAAAATATATGAAGGTGGGGACTACACACTGGATGAAAAAGCAGTTCTCAGGCAACCCGCAGTCTGAAGAAGAGGATAGAATCCTCTAAAATCAGTGAGTGTGATGAGCTCCCATTCAGGTTTTTGATAATCCCAGCGGATTAAAAAAGGCTGCTGATGATAATGGTACCTGACCAAGTAAACATGGTCTGTGGCAAACCTGAACAAAGCTGGGCAAACTAGCAAATACTGGGCAAAGATATCAGCCATGTAACAGAGGTAAAAGGGCAGCAGAAACAGCTGTGAGCGTGATCCTGGGAAGATCACAGTTGGGCAAAGTGCAAACACAGGGCTTGTTAGAATGGCAGATTTCTGAGAAGGGGAATAGCCTCCTATCTTTTTTTTCCATGATGGATACAGGGAGATGGAACAGTATGTAAATAAGTAAGAGAACATTTTGATCATGCCTGACCCTTCTCACCTTATTTCTCAGACTGGCAAAAATTGACCTTACAAGACCATGAACTTTGACCAGCTAGATGACCAAATATGTAACAATGTTTTTCTCTCTGCTGTGGGAATTCAAGGCCTTTTCTTCCATCCTCATTCATGAATATTAGGAGTACCTTCATTAAATGAAATGTTTACTTGGCATAAACCAGAAGAGAGATCAGAGTTAGAACAGAAAATGTCTGTGTCTTGCCCTAAGTCACAGAACTAGCTGAAGTAGGTTCAGGAGCAAAACCCACTTGATCCTGACCTGTTTTCTGTAATGAAAACAAAGAACAATTCTGAGAGAATTGAAAATGGACATGATGCCTGAAAAGTAAGTGATGAAGAAGTACGTACTTGGAGGAGGAAAACCGACAACAGATTTCAACAGCAGAGAAGTTTTCTATTGATAAAAGGAGAAATGCTACGGCAAGTTTACAAATAGCATTAATATTACCTTTGTTTAAAAGTGTATTTTATATGACTTTTAATTAAGCATCACTATGTCATAAGATAGTGCATGCTGTGTTCACAAGGATGTGTTTGTGTCCCTCTCCAGTTGTGAGAGTTAGTATATAGAAAATGAATAAAGTAACTCAAACAGAAACTGAACAAACGGGAACTTCAAGTACTCTATTTGTTTTTAGTAGCATAGGATGTGATCACGGATTTCATCCATAGGAAAGAAAATTATTCCTACAGGGTTCTTACGGCAAATACTCCGGAGTTACTTCTGTGCCCAGATCACATCTTCTGTGTTCTTCATGCCTTTGTTTCTATACTCTCATGCTCAGCAGTGAGTATAATTATGAATGCCTGTCACTTGTTTAAACAAATGCTTTGTTTGGCAACCTTTGTTTTCCTGCTGCTGATGCAGCTGCAAAATTGTGTGCACAGTGTGTTAATTTTTTACCTTTGATGCTATGGTAAGTTTTTTTTCCTAACAAAAAAAAGGAAACCAATGAATGAGATACCAATCTCTCTTGATCCACACAAAACATGTGAAAGCAGCAACTTCCTTAGGAAACAATAGTAAATGAATGCTGATACAACGGTAAAATAAGCTAGATATTTCCTGGAACCAAATGATTCTTCGTAACATGACAGAGAAAAGTTAGCACATACATAAAATGGAAGAGAGAGAGAGAGAGAGACTAAAAAAAGAGGATGAAAAAGGTGAGGAAATAAAACAACAAAGAAATATCTTATTATTTTATTTGAGACAACAGACTAACAGGGCAACGGGATGTATTTTCTTCTATAAAATTAAAAAATGAAATTGATATATTAGAACCCTGAAGTTCTTACTCATTTTTATGAGAGGGAAGGAAAATAAGAATGGATTTGACGTAGGCACTTGAGCAAGTTACCATGGTTTAAATCAGAATATAACTTACAGTGTATCACCTTCTTCCTGGTGCTTGCTCATGGGCAGTCTCTTATCCCGTGGTGAAGCCTTCATTCACTGGAGGGATTCTTACACTGAATTTCATTACATTATTGCAGAAATATTCAGGTGAGCACATCTTTGGAAGCTCATAAAGCTTAGGAGATTGCCAGGCACAGGAAACAATTATCCTTGGGTAAGTCATTCGTGTGTTGGTACTGTAAATTAAAGACTGAAAGCCAAATTCGGGCCTTCCGATATAAGCACAAAGGTTGTCTCCAACTGTTAGGTTGTGAACAGAAAGATCCTCTTTCTTCTGCTGTTTACCAATGTTTTCTGTCATTGAAGAGTATGTCATACCTGGCTGTGTCATTCTCAAGGGGAACAAGGGATAGGCTGTGATAGTGGAGTCTCTTTATGATTTATTGGTGTCATTCAAAATTTTAAAAGGAAACACCCCCTGCTTTGGAAGAAATGATAGGGGAAAAAAATCTAAAATAATATCTCTGGTAAAGAGGGGAAAAACCCTTACAAGAGGAGGGTTAATTATATATTCCAGATTGCTGTAATGATCAGAGCAGACTGACTCGCTATCAGAAGGTAGCGCTGCAGACTTTCTTAGACAAATTGCTATATTATTTTTTTATTACATTGCTATCTCTGATCAAAGTTGGATCCTGCCAGTATTTCCTCTAGTTAGTTTGAAGACTATAGGTGAATAGTGTAATTGATTTATGACAATGGAAGTTTTTCTGTTTGTGGTGTTTTAGCTGAGAAATGATTTACTAACTATACAGAGAGGAGCGGGATCTCACATCCTCAGCAGAATGTGAGTTAATAATCTCTTGGAGGGAATGTACTGATGAGAAAACAGGACACCTTTTACATTGGACTTGGTTTGTGATGGCAAAGGCTTTTACTAGCCACTTTCCACAGCAGGTAGTACCCTGATATTTATATCATTCTTTTTCTGGCTGGGACCTGGCAATTGCTTGAGTGCAGCAGAAACTGGAAAATCTGTTGCAGGGCAAATCTGTGCAGCAAAGCATGAAATAATCCTGTGTGAAAAGTCAGTTTATAAGTAGTTTAACCTTTGAACTTCCTAATCTGCTTGTGAAGGAAGAGAACACAATAAATAAATCAACAGACTCAGCTGAACAGTTACAAATCTGGAAGCAGGAGCAAGGGTTTTCCTAACATACCGGTTGCTAATTCCCAGGCTCGTGATGACTTTTTAATACTGAAAACACCAGCTTGAGAAGTCACTACGAGCACTTTCTAAGAAAGGCACGGTGCACGTGTCAGCGTAGGTTTCCCTGCCTGAAACACAAAACCCCTCAAGTGCTGTTCTCTGACTGTGTAAATTCCAGACAGATGAGCAGGAGGAATTGCTGGTCCCCTGGGGTCTGAAACGCTTTAGAAACTGGAGCTTTTGTGACATGCACCGTTTAATTTCATACAGGTACAGAAGTCCTGCGGTGGACACCTTGAGTTTGGACAGGACAAAGCTACAGTGCCTGAGAACAGCATTTCAAACCACTAGCCCAAGAGCCACAGCAACAGCTCCATTTAGCCATAGGTCCGCAGATATCAGGGTAGCCAATTACGGCTGAACCAGAGTGGATTCCATTGCACATCGTGACACTGCAGTACTGAATTAAGCATCTCATTTAAGGAATATTTTTATGCAGAACTCTGAAAGTCACCGCTGGCTCTGCTGAAGCTGAAAAATGAAGTGTCATGACGGTCTTGTTTGGGCAACACTGTGATATATAAGGATACAGTAAAGTAACCTAATCTCTGTCTTCTTTCAGAGCTACTTGCATACTTCCTCCATGCTTCCTTTTTGTGCTTTTGAATATTTTTATCATTCCTCAGAGGTTAACAGAAGGTTTTCCACCTTTGCCCAGTCATTCTGTTCTCACACCAAATGCAGGAACAAAGCAACAGAGGAATCAGTCTGATGAGCTAATTTAGCAAATTCCCACTTGCTGCCTGTTCTTCAGCTGTGTTCTGAGCACGGTGACGTTTTTCTCCTTAACATGACAGCTCACGTTCAGATCATCCCATTTCAGCGATGCAAGCACTCAGGAGCCATTTGAGCAGAGAGAAATTTAATGGAAGGACCAGAGAAAGGAGTAGGAAAAGGGAACGTGTCGCTGCGTGAACGGCTTAGGGCAGGCGGCTCTCGAGGTGCAGATATACGTTTAATCTGCTTGCTGACAACTCTGCCGGCCAAATCCTGCGGCTGCGTCGCCGGGCAGGTCTGGAAACGCTTAATAAAAACGAGATGTGACACTGGAGTTTGCGGTAACCCCGAGACGCTGTCGGAGAAGGAATCGCAGAGCCATGCCCAGCAGGACGCGACGGCAGGCTGCGGGACACGGCCGCGCAAAGCACACGGCTGCCTCGACCGAAACGCCGGCAAGGGTCCATCACCCTCCTGGGGCGCAGGGCGAGACCCCGTTGTGGCCTCCCGGTCCGAGCAAGAGGGTTTCGCGGAACCCTCAGGGTTTGTGGCAGGGCGAAGAGGGGAGAGTGTGGGGGACACACACGGTGTGGATGCGTGCGGGTGCGCTGGCTGAGGTGCGGAGGGTGTCGTCTGCGGTGCCTGTGGTACAGGACTACAATTCCCGGCATGCACCGCTCCGGCCGCGTGTACTACAGGTCCCGGCCTGCTCGGCGGGGGCGGCGACGAAGAGCCGACGCGCTGCCCTCTGGGAATTGTAGTCTCTCCCGGCGGCGCGTCGGTGAAGGGCGGCCGCCGGGCCGAGTCCTCCGTGCGCCTGCGCGGGTTCTCGGGGCGGGCGGGGGCCGAGCGGGCGCAGCGGGGCGGCGCCTGCGCGCTGAGGAGAGGGAGATCTCTCGCGAGGAAGGACGCCATTATCGCAGCCGCTCGACAAACACCACGAGAATTCGGCACCGCACACGGTAACCGCGGCGCCCCGCGGCCGGACGGCTGGGGCTGAGCTCCCGTGGGGGGGCCTGACGCCTTGGGCGTATAGCCCCGGCCCTCACAGCTTTCCCGCTCCTCACAGCGTCTCCCGAGCACCCGGGCCGTGAGGCGGCGGCTCCGGGGAGGGGCCGAGGCGGGGGAGGAGGAGGAGGAGGGGGGGGCGCGGGCCCCCGCCTCCTCACCCGGACCGGGCAGGGGGGACTGGGGGGAGTGTGTGTGGATGTGGGGGGCAACCGGGGACTCGCCTCTTCCCGCCGCAGAGGCGCCGGAGCTGGGCCCTCGGCGGGGGGCTGCTCTTCATCGCCTCGCTCCCCGCCTGCCTTCTCGGCGCTTGGGCCTGGGGAGGGGTGTCACACCCCCCCCCACCCCCCCCCCTTACCCGGGGCTCCTCAGTGCCGGCCCCGTCTCTTTCGGGGGGACCGCTGGTCAGCCCTGCGGGGCGTGCGGCGTTTGAGGTGGAGGGTCTGGTCTGTGCCTCCCCCCCGGCAGTGTCCCCGAAGACAGTGACCTCTCTTCCTCCCCACCTCTCCCAGGCTCGTGTTTTCCCATTTTGAGCCTTCCCTTCCTCGGGTCGCGCACACGCGGCACTGCAGGCACGTTTTTGGGAAGGGGAATCGCTCAGCGCACTCCCTCCCTGTCGTAGGAGAGTGTAAATGACTGGTGACATTGGTACTGCCTCTTCCTTTTCTCTCTGCTGCTTGCAGGTAGCGGTAATGGAAAGGGGCTGCTTCTTTTCACCTGCCTGCTAGTCGGGGGGGGGGGAAGGAAATAGTCTCCTGAGGTGCTGTTTTGCGTGTGTGGTCATTTAGGCACAGTCAGGGTTTTTCACATCTATATCGGGGTTGGTATTTTCTAGTCTCTTCATATTAGTGATCTGTTTGACAACACACTCGGTCCTCCCTTTTTCCTTATTTGCAATTCAAGTGTTGCTTTTTTTTACAATTACTCTTTTTTTAAATCCTTGTACAGTGGGAAGTTGTGTACTTAACCAAATAGAGTAATTTTATCCTGCTACGGGACATACAGTTTATGTATCAGTTTATTTTTAGAGCTCTCAAGGGAAGATTATTATTTTTTTTTTTAAGTAAACAATTTTGGAGGGGTATTAGCAACTGAGTGATTGCTGCAGTGGAAGCAGCTTTCAAATTGTAAAATGATAGTTTGGAACGTTTTTTGCTACTTTTTTTGCCTTCTGTGTGAGGTTACCTTGGTGTACACTGTTGATGTTAGACTTTCAAGGAGCAAACATAAAACTTGTAGAATTTTGAGTGCTCCAGCAGGATCTTAAAACAACAAACAAAAAATGAAAACAAAAAAAAGCCTTCGTCTTAATTTCATAGCAGTGCCTCTTGCAACAATGGATTTTCTCTGTTAAAAAGTACTAATATACCTTTAAGATGGATGTCCATAGAAATTGACCAGAATAACAAAAATATGATTCTGAAACTGTATGAGCCTTATTCCGTACATTAAATGACATCTTGGCAGTAGTTCACTTTTCAATAATACATGAAAAGATGTTATGAAGAAAGACTAGTTAATTCATTGAAGAGAGTGAAAAGATTGAGTTTGGGTTTGGGAAACATTCCATCTCCTTCAGAGGATGGAAATATTTTGTAACTTTTTTCTTTGTTTTGTAATTTATAACCTGTTTTACAATGACAATAACTGGCTTTAATGTCTTAATTATCCAGCCGTCTTTAAGTTGTTGTCTGGTTACAGGACAAGTTTTCAATTTTAAGGTTCTTCTAAAGGAGTAATTGATTAATAACATTTGGAGTAATTGAATAATAACATTAAGAGTATGGTAGTAATATAGTGAGCCCTAATTATCAATGTTCACATTTGAAAGGGTTTTTTTACTGCCTGTGCTGCTTTTAACACAGTACAACATACTTGTTCTATACTGTTTTGGACTAAGTAGGTGAAGAAAGATGAGCATATAGTCATAGCTCCATGTAACCAGAAGCGCTACTTAGGGTTTACCTTGATTTTGCAAGGAGTAATGCTGTGCTGTGGGATTCAGAGCCACATTAATTACAGTAAAATGCTCACATTTGCAAGGACTTGAAGTTGTCTCTCTGGTCTTTTATCTTGAGCTTTTCCCTAAACTTGTAAAGCATCATTTGTGCAGGAAGAATACATGCCTTTATTTTGTCAGAACTTGAATGTCTTCGTATCTTTCATTGAAGAATGCCTTGAATTGAAATTGCTGTGATGCTCCTTAGAAAGTAAAGACTCTCTCAGTACATTCATTTTGAAAGGAAGAGATGGGTATTTCCCGTTGTGCGCAGAAGCTCTTGTCCCAGAGATCTACAGAAACTGTTTATGTGAATTGAGCAGAACAGCAAGAGCTACTTGTAGGAGGACACAATGCAAGTCTAATGATTAGAATTAGAACAACAAAATGTCTATGTATACTAAACTTTGCCAATAAAATTTTTTTCACAGATTTGATTTCCTTTAGTTTGAAACTTGATATTTAGTTGTTAACTATTGAAGTAATTTTGTTTTCTGTTTTTTACATATTCATTAAAGGGCTAAATCATAATCTTTTTTTTTTTCAGGTAAAATAAAAAGAATAAAATGTCTTTGAAGTCATGTCAAACACTTGTTTCCTTGCAGTTCTAGGTTTTTAAAGCTACTGTTAAGTGCTTAGTTTTGCCTACCACTTGTTAGACTGCATGTTAAGACGTTAAGCAAAAGTGAACAAAAGGATTAACTTCGTAAAATCCTTTGCATTTGGGACTTCAAATAAAATAATTTGTAACGTTGTCTGTTGAACAAAATTATTTTATGTTGCTTCCTGCTTGTAAAACCCTGACTTAGTCCACTTAAGGGAAGTTCAAATTTTCCTCTGAAAATTGGAGCACATGTATTTTATGATGAAAAAAGAATGCATCTCTCCTACCTGTGGAGTGAATTCATAGCAACTGTAAAGCTAAACACCCCTTCCTTCCCTGCTCCGTAGACACAAATGTGTCTGTTAACATGTACCAACTTATCTCGCTTTAATGTCCTATGAATGTGTATATACAGTCTTGCAGGTTTAAAGCTGGAGTTACCTTTTTTTTTCCTAGAGGAGGGAGGGGGAATGGCAAAACAGGATCAGACTGTACTAATGTAAGTATTTCAGAATGTGAAGAACTACTCGTTCTACGTTTTTCTACTGAAATGATGTTCTTCAGTTTATTTTCATATGTATTTTTGGTAAGAATTTAAAAATACTAGTATTGTCCCTGTGTTTTAAAACAGTGCTAAAGTCTGTTTCACCAGCTTGAATGTTTCCTTTTTCTAGATAGCCACAGGAGGTAAATCTATTAGAAGACTTTTGAGTAAGCAGATGACTTGTTGTATATTTTATGTTGGCCATCATGCTTTTTGATAGTAGAAGCCTGTGCCAATATTGGGGTCTGTCCTTGCACCCCTCCCGGAACTGCTAGATCAGAAAGTTTTTCCAGCGTCTAGAAGATCAGCAGTGCACATACTAGGAAAAATATAAAATGATTAAAAAAAAAATTATATTATTCCCTTTTCTTGTCAGAGATTCTGTTTTAGGTAAGCCAAACACGTAAGAACAAAGCATTTTGCACACATTTCCCTGGAACTTGAGCCAGGTGTTTGTCATAGTGTATACTGGTCCTGGGGTATGTGCTGAGTTTAGACTGAGCAACTTTCCGAGGCAAAGCCTCTAAGTGATTGAGCAAAGTCTCTTTCCTGCAAACAGGCAATTAAACTGGGAGGTTACAGTATTAGAAAGTCTTAATTCCTTCTGCCAATGAAAAACGTGCACTAAGCAAGGGTGTCTTACAAAGCACACTGAAGGAGGTCACGTTCGGGTATGTATGTCTTATTCCTACACCCTGCCTCCATGTTTATTTTTTGTTTCTGTAGAAGAGCTAGTTTTAACATGGTGAAGGAATATGATGGTCAGAGGAAAACAGTTTCTGGCATGGTGTCCGTGCTCCGGTACACAGACCTGATGGTAGATTGTGGGAGAGTGCCCCATGACGTGCACACAATGTCTTGGAGCTGAGGAAAGTAGCGGCTTTGGAGATGGAACAGTTGAGCCACATGGAAGTGGCTTCTCAGCAGTGCTGTTTTGTTGCAAACCAGCATGGGGCAAGATGTGTTTTCCTCAGCAGTCTCTTCTGGTTGAAATTTCACTGATGGGAATTTTCATCACACTGTTCAAGTCTTAGCGTAGCGTGTTGTTGGTAATGCGATGGAGTTGTGATGTTGGAGCTACGCTCATATTTCTCAGGGTGTGCGTGGCTCAAGAGTATAGCTCCAAGATGCAGGGCTTAGTGTTGCTTTCATTTTTATCTACACAGTAACAAGTCATTTCTGCAGTGTGTCAGCTTCCAGAAACACATCCAAGCCATTTTCTGCACTAACTAAAGTTTTTAAATGATCTTTTACTTGGCCTTAAGTAGGGAACTTTCCGATTCTTGATGATTGAAAAATATGGATGTTGTTAAACTTGGAGAAATCTGTGTCAGAGCCAGTTTTTAGTTTGATCGAAGATGTCATACTTACATCTGCCTACAGCTGTGATTTCAGTTTGAAATGTACTCTGGATTTAGTGATATCTTTAACTCTTTAGAGGAAATAATAGTCTTCAACCTAAATCTGGTGTTTATGGAAGTGAATAATTGGATATTTTTAGTAATTAAAAAGTCCAGTTCTATCTACCATAACTTCAAGAATTAATTTTTTTCCACTTTTAATGCTTTTTCCTCAGAAAGCATGAGATTGTTATGGTTTTTTTTCCACATTTTGGATAATTTCTAATAAAGAAGAAACTCATTTAACACCCCCCAACCCCAATTATCATACACTTTTTAGCAACATATTTAAAAGTAATCATTTTCTGTTTACACTAAATTGCAGTGTTTGGTCTGTGAAGTGAAGTAATATTTGCTTTGGCAGAGTTAGTAATACAAGATTCCCCTTGGGAATTCAGTAGTTCAAT